ATCAGCCTTAATGAAGTGGATAGAGTCAAGCTTTCAGGACCTCCATTTACTGATGGGACACAACTCAAAATGGGAAGAAACAGCTGCAAACATCCATTAATAACAGGAACATGGAATGTATGAAGTACGAATGTAGGAAAATTGGAAGTTGTCAAAAATGAAATGGAACGCATAAAGATCGATATCTTAGCCATTAGTGAGCTGAAATAGATTGTTTTTGGCCATTGTGAATCAGGCAATCCTATGATCTAATATGCCAGCAAGGACAAATTGAAGAGGAATGCCGTGGCATTCATCATCACAAAGAATGTTCCAAGATCTATCCTGAAGAACAATGCTGTCAGAAATAGGGTAATACCCATACGCCTATAAGGAAGACCAGTTAATACTACTGTTATTCAAGCTTACGTCCCAACTACTAAAGCCAAAGACAAGGAAATTGAAGATTTTTACCAACTTCTGCAGTCAGAAATTGAGAGGTATTGATTATTACTAGTGACTGGAATGCGAAACCTGGAAACAAGAAAGAATCACTGGTAGTTGGAAAATATGGCCTTGGTGACAGAAATGATGCTAGAGATCACGTGGTAGAATTTTGCAAGACCAATGACTTACTTATTGCAAGTACCTTTTTTAAACAACATAAACAGTGGCTATTCACATGGACCTTGCCAGATGAAATACACAAGAAGCAGACTGACTACATCCACGGAAAGAGGCGATGGAGAAGCTCAGTATTTTCTGCCAAAACAAGGCCAGCAGCTGACTGTGACACAGACTATCAATTGCTCATATGCAAGTTAAAGTTGAAGCTGAGGGCAATTAAAACAACTCCACAGAACCAAAATATGACCTTGATTATATCCCTCCTGAATTTAGAGACCATATGAAGAACAGATTTGAAACAATGAATACAAATGACCGAAAACCAGAAAAATTGTGGGATGATACCAAGAACATTAAACATAAAGAAAGCAAAAAGTGATTAAAAAGACAGGAAAGGAAAAAAAAGACCAAAATGATGTCAGAAGAAACTCTGAAACTCGCTCTTGAATGGTGAGTAGCTAAAGCAAATGGAAGAAATGACAACATAGAAGAGCTGAACAAAAGATTTCAAAGAGCAGCTCAAGAAGACAAAGTCAACTATTACAATGAAATGTACAAAGACCTGGAGTTAGAAAACCAAAAGGAAAGAAGACATTCGGCATTTCTCAAGCTGAAAGAACTGAAGAAAAAACTCAAGCCTCGAGTTGCAGTCTTAAAAGATTCTATAGGCAAAACACTGAATGATGCAAGAAGCATCAAAGATGGAAGAAACATAGTGAGTCACTGCACAAAAAAGAATTGGTCAATGTTCAACTATTTCAGGAGGTGGCATATGATCAAGAATCAACTGTACTGACGGAGTAAGTCAAAGATGCACTGAAGGAATTGGCGAAAAATAAGGCTCCAGGATTTGGCAGAATACCCATTGAGATGTTTCAACAAACAGATGCCATGCTGGAGGTACTTACTTGTTTATGTCAAGTAATTCGGAAGACAGCTTCCTGGCCAATTGACTGGAAGAGATCCATATTTGCACCCATTCCAAAAAAGGTGATCCAAAGAATGTGGAAATTATCGAACAGTATCATTAATATCACACACAACTAAAATTCTGCTGAACATAATTCAAAAACAGTTGCAGAAGTACATTGACAGGGAACTTCCAGAAATGCAAGCTGGATTCAGAAGAGGACATGGAACGAGGGATATCACTGCTAATGTCAGATGGATGTTGGCTGAAATCAAAGAACACAGAAAGATGTTTACTTGTGTTTTACTGACTATGCAAAAGCATTCAACTGCGTGGATCATAACAAATCATGGATAACACTGAGAAGAACATGAATTGTGCTCATGAGGAACTTGTACATAGACTAAGAGGCTGTCATTTGAACAGAACAAGGGGATACTGCATGGTTTAGTATCAGGAAGGGTTTGTGTCAGGGTTGTATCCTTTCACCGTACTTAATTCAATCTGTATGCTGAGCGAATAATCTGAGAAGCTGGACTATGTGAAGAGAACACAGCATCTGGACTGAAGGAAGACTCATTAACAACCTGCAATATGCAGATGACACAACTTTGCTTGGTGAAAGTGAGGATGACTTGAGGCACTTACTGATTTAGACTGAAGACTACAGTCTGCATTATGGATTACATCTCAACATAAGAAAACAAAAATGCTCACAACTGGACCAAAAAGCAGCGTCATGGTATAATGGAGAAAAGACTGAAGTTGTCAAAGATTCATATTACTTGGATCCACAATTAACAACAATTGAAACAGCAGTCAAGACATCAGATGACATATTGCACTAGGAAAATCTGCTGCAAAAGACCTCTTTAAAGTGCTGAAGAGCAAAGATGTCCCTTTGAAGACTAAGGTGTGCCTAACCCAAGCCATGGGAGCTCTGGTAGCATAATGGCTAAGACACTTGCCTGCTAACCAGACGGCTGGCGGTTCAAACCCACCAGCCACTCCTCGGAAGGAAGGCTGGGCAATCCTACTTCCGTAGTGATACTGCCTTGGAAACCCAAGGAGGGGTCGCTATGAGTCAGGTTTGACTCGACGGCACATAACAACAACAACAACAACAACCCAAGCCATGGTATTTTCTGTCGCCTCATATGCATATGAGAGCTGGACAATGAATAAGGAAGACCAAAGAAGAGTGGATGCTTTTGAATTGTGGTGTTGGCAAAGAATACTCAAAGTACCATGAACTGCCCAAAGAACTAACAAATCTGTCCTGGAAGACATGCAGCCAGAATGCTCCTCGGAAGCAAAAATGGCCGGACTTTGTCCAACCTGCTTTGGTCATGTTGTCACAAGGGACCACTTCCTGCAGAAGGGTATCATGCTTGGTAAAGTTAGAGCATCAGTGGAAAAGGGGAAGGCCCTCAACAAGATGGATTTACAGACACAGTGGCTGCAATGATGGGGTCAGGTTTAGCAAGACTGTGAGGCTGGTATAGGACCAGGGAGTGTTTCATTCTGTTGTACACAGGGTTGCTACAAGTCGGAGATGACTTGATGGCACCAATTAACAACAACAGCTACAGCAAGCCTACATCATAAATTCCTGAAACCTACTGCTGCTCTAGCTTTCCCCATTGTGTAAGAAAAAGAAACTCATAGTCTTTTCAATCTCTATTTTGGTGTGTCCCAGGCTAATTTATAAAATTTCACATTACTATCCACAAATAAAACCAGGCTCAGAGCTTTTGCTGTTATGCATAACAGAAATGTCAACCCAATTTCTATCCCTTTGTGTCTTGGTCTATATCACAGTGGTTTTCATCTTTTTTCAATTATCTTTTTTGGCTATCTTTCCCACATGATAAGTGAAAATGGTGTTAATTTTCATTTTACCCTGCATTTATTTGTTGACTAGAAAAAGTAACCCTCTTGGTCATACTTAGTGGGCATTTGTATTTTTTTCACTTATTACATGCCTATTCAAATTTTTACTAATTTTAGCCTGTTACTGATTTATGTGTAAAAGCTCTCTGTACATTAAGGATATTAGGGTCTTTATCTACCACGTATAGTTGTAAATAGTTTTATCCATTTGTTATTTTCATTTTTAATTAAACTGATTTGGACATAAAAAAATTTCACTGTTTGTTACAAGGTGGGAATCTTTCTTTCCCTTTCCTACCAAACATACCTAGTCATTCTCCCTTTCCTTTCTAATTTAAAAAGTCACCTATATCAAATATTAAACTCTGGTGGTCCAATGCCTAAGGCATTTGACTGCTAATAGAGGGTCACTATGAGTTGGAATCGACTCGATAGCAGTAGGTTTATATCATACATTAAATTCTTCAATAGGTCAGAACCTGTTATCTATGCTTTATATACAGTTCTAGTAATCCAACTTACTATTCTTCCACAAATATTACATTTTTCTAGTTATTGTTAACTTCAAAATTTTTAATGTTTGGTAGCGGAAGTTATTCATTCAAAAACTTTTAACTGAGTAAGTATTATGTAATCAGGCATTGGTCTAGATGCTAAGGTAAACCTATGAACAAGGCAGCCACAGTATTTGCCACCTTGAAATCTATAACCAAAAAAAAAAAAAAAACAACTAAGCCCACTGCTATCAAGTTGATTCCAACTCACAGTGACCCCCACTAGGTTCCCAAGGCAGTAAACCTCTACAGAAGAGAAGGAGATTGCCCCAACATCCTTCCACAGAGTGGCTGGTGGGTTTGAACTACCAACCTTCTGGATAGCAGTCAAATGCCTTAGGCAATACACTTCAATATGCCTATTCCTGGTAAACCTTTTTAATTTAAGATTAAATATTCACATAATCTTTATTTTCACATAATCTTCTCAAACATCTCCTATGTCTCTGGACAAGATATGTAAATGTAAATGTACAAAAATATAAATGTATGTACCAATTTCTGAACTGATCAAAATACTACTATTGCTATACTTTACACCTCTCTAGTCTACTCTTCAAGTTTGAAATACTCCACTAGTTCTTAGCGAACCAGAAGAGAAATCTGTAAACACTAGGACCTTATCTTAGTTTGGGCCATGGTCTCCTGTTGTGCTCCTTGAGGCAACACCAAATGAACAGCCCCATCTATTTCCCTACAAGCAACTTATCAGGAATATAGAGCTAGGATATGGGGAGTACTCAGCAAAGACCTGATCAGCTGAACAAGTTTGGTCCTTCTTCCATGTCTCCTATTTTGTCATGTTCATTTCAATATATTTAGGTAACAAGAAAGGGGAGGTGATAAAGCAATATGAAACATAGGCAAATGAGATAGAAAAAAATAATTTCCTTCTCCCTGCAGGTCTCTAGCCTCTGCAGGTAATGAAGTCACTCAAAATTACTCAAAGGTCAGAGACTTTTTGTACTCCAGAAACCACAGGCCTGGTACACTGCCTAAAGCTGTCCTGCAGTAAAGTCTACTGGAGACACACGCACCTGTAAGAGTGATGTCATCATCATCATCATCTATGATTTCTTCTTCAGCAACATCCAGTGAGCTCTCAGTAATCATGTCATTAGGCTCTTCCACACAGGCTAGACCAGCGTAACTATTGAGAATATCGGCACCAGGAACATGTTCCACAATTACAGCAGGAAAAATAGCTGGATCACCAAGCTGGGAGGGGTGGAATAAAAGAAATAAAAAGATTAACTGAGTATTATATTTCATGATGACAAACAAAATTATTTTATATTGAACATCAATTTGGCTTACATATCATCAGCTACTTTTATCTTGATAATCCTTCTGTGGTGGAGAAGAATGTTATCTATTAAGACTGAATAAACTTTATTCTTTGTCTTAATAACCAAGCTTTTGTTAAAAAATCCTGTAAATGTACCTTTTTAAACTACAGTTATATAAATTGAAAAAAATCATTAATTACAAACCAAAAAGTGACCAACAAACAAACTGCACAATTAAATAAAATCTCAAAGCTTCTTTGACAGAAAAAAATATATAATTTTTGAGCTCAATAAACATTAAACTGTCACTTGACATAGAAAATTTGATTAACAACAGTTTTTGATTGAAGTAGAGAAATTAACTTTCATTTTCTGTTATTATCCTTTTCAAGCATGCTATAGTAAGCCTATAAATTATTAACCCAGCAAAATCTGAACCCACTGCTGAGTTGATTCTGACTCATAGCTATCCTATAGGACAGAGAACTGGCCCATAGAGTTTCCAAGGTAATAAATCTTTACAGAAGCAGACTACTATATCTTTCTCTCTTGGAGTGGCTAGCGGGTTTGAACTGCTGACCTTTTGGATGGAAATTGAGTGCTTTAACCACTGTACCACCAGGGCCCTTTATAAATTATTAGTTTATAATAACACTATTATTACTATTAAAATATACTTATATAATCATGGAATTTTAAATCTGAAAGGACCCTTAAAATGAGTCCACACTTCTCATTTTATAAATGAACCAACTAACTTAGAGAGGGTTTTTAAACAATCTGCTAAAAAATCAGTTAATTTATGGCAAACTCCAGTAGTTACTATCTCAGTTTGCTTTTTGTTTTCAAATTATTTCAGATCTTAGAAAAGTTGCCAAAACAAAGAAAAAGTACAAAGAATTCCTATATATCCTCTACCCATATTCAATGTTCACATTTAATCATACTGTTTTATCATTCTTTCCATATTAATATTTTTCAAAAAATTTGTATTGTGATTTGGGTGAAAGTTTACAGAGCGAATTCACTTTCTATACAGCGGCTCACATACATTCTGTCTCATGACATTGACTGCAATTTCCCACAGTGCAACAGCTCCTCTCTCACTTCCTCCCAAGAGTTACTTCTTCCTTGTGTCCTTCCCTCCCATGCACTCCTGTCCACTGAGCTGTCTCCCTGTGCATGCATATATAGCCCTTCTATTCTCCCATGATTGATCTCTCCAAGGAGTGTATCTACCTAACGGAAATGCTCAGCTCATATGCCTGACTTTTTTTGGCCAGAAGCCACAAAAGAGGGTTCAATTCCAGACCTGAAGGGCAGCTGGGGCCACAGTCTCATTGGTTCTATCAGGCTTCATCAGACCAGCAACCTGGTCTCTCTCTTTTTTTTTTTTAATGATTTGGAGTTTTGTTTCACATTGTTCTCCCACTCTATCCAGGATCTCCTACATAGATTCCCCCTCCGAGTGGGTGACAGTGGTAGTTGGGCACCATCTAGTTCTTCTGGTCTCATAGAGGACCGCATGGTGTACCAGTCGCTTGGACTAATTGTTTTCATGCGTCTTTGTTTTCCTTCATTCTTCTTGGCTCAGGATGAGGAGAGATCCATAGTTGAACGGCCCCTTGCAAGCTTTTAAGATCCCAGTCACCACATGCCGAAGTAGGATGTGGAACAATGTTTTTCTGTGTAGTATGGTATGCCAATTGAGTTTGATGTTCCCTGAGACTATGGTCCCAAGCCTACTGTGGCCAAGAAGTGACTTCAACCTTGTCCCTAGTCAGCTCTACTACATACCTGGGAATTCTTACAGAATATACTAATACACCTGTAGAAACACTGTCTGCCAACCCTATACATGGCCTTGGGCACACTCCCCCCTGCATAGACATACCTAATACTTCAGCCTGTCTACCTATCTATCCACCCGTATACCCATGTTTGCCTTTACTGACAACGGAGTACTATATGTGCAAAAGGGTTCATCTTTGTTGTCTGTACCTCCCATGCACCTCTCTCTGTCTTCCTCTTCCTCAATGCCACTGTGTTGATCACTCACATTTGGTACATTGCTCTTCTCTTTACCCAAATCAGTACTTGTCTCCACCTATCTAACACCTGTCTATCCATTTCTCTGTTCCCTCTCTTCTCCTCCCACCCTCCATATTATTTTTTTCTACTTTGTTTGGAAGTGGTAGATATATTAATCCTTTAACCTTAAATACTTGAGAGTGTATTACTTAATACTCAAAATATTATCCTGCACAAAGATAATACAATTATCAAACCAGGAAATCAATACAGATACAGTACTATTATAAAATCTATTGACCTTACTCAAATTTTGGACTCAAATAATGGACTTTATGACAAACAAACAAAATTTTTTTTTTTTTTTTTTTGCTCAGGATCCAATCAAGATCATAAGTTTCATTTAGTTAGATTAAGAGGCAGTTATCCTAACAGAACAAGGAGATACAGAGCGGTCAAAAATCAGTAAAGGTGTGTGTCAGGGTTGTATCCTTTTACTATATTTATTCAGTCTGTAGGCTGAGCAAATGATCTGAGAAGTTGGACTATATGAACATGGATGCAGCACTAGGATTTGCAATATGCTAATGACACAACCTTGCTTGCTGAAAAGTTAAGGGGACTTGAAGCATTTATTGAAGAAGATCAAAGAACATAGTCTTCAGTATGGATTACACCTCAACATAAAGGAAACAAAAATCCTCACAGTTGGACCAATATGCAACATCATGACAAATGAAGGAAAGATTGAAATTGTCAAGGATTTAATTTTACTTGGATCCACAATCCACAATCAATATCCACTGAAGCAGCAGTCAAGAAATCAAAGGATGTATCAGATTGGGTAAATCTGCTGCAAAAGTTCTCTTTAAAGTGTTCCAAAGCAAAGATGTCACTTTGAGGAGTACAGTGTGCCTGACCAAGGCAACAATATTTTCAATCATCTCATATGCATGTGAACGCTGGACAATGAATAAGGAAGACCCAAGAATTGATGCATATGAATTATGGTATTGGCAAAGAATACTGAATATACCATGCACTGCCACAAGAATGAACAAATCTATCTTGGAAGAAGTACAGCCAGAATGCCCCTCAGAAGTGAGGATGGTGAGACTTGGATCAGGAGGGATCAGTCCCTGAAGAAGGACATCATGTATAGCAAAAAAGGTCAGCCCAAAAGAGGAAGACTCTCAAGGAGATAGACTGACATAGTAGTTGCAACACGGGCTCGAACACAACAACAATTGGGAGGATCGCAGGACCAGGCAAGTGTTTTGTTCTGTTGTACGTAAGGTTGCCAGGAGCTGGAACCAATCCAGTGGCACCCAACAACAAACAATAAAGTCTGCTAAAATGAAAGTATTTATGGTTTCATTACAACTTAGCAGCCTCAAGGGAGCTCTGGTAGCATAGTGGCTAAGGCACTTGACTGCCAACCAGAAGGCTGGTGGTTCAAACCCACCAGCCACTCCTTGGAAGGAAGGTTGGGCAATCTACTTCTGCAGTGATACTGTCTCGGAAATCCAAGGAGGGGTCGCTATGAGTCGGGTCCGACTCAAAGGCACATAACAACAACAAGCAGCAGCCTCAATGTTTAAAACAGTAAGTATACAGCACAGAAGTTAGAGCTTACTTCTATCGTAAGAATTTAATCACCTTTATTAAATATGATATTAGAAGTGCTAAACAGGTATTGTCCCACATTCAAGAACATTATGATTATGTTCTAAGATTTATGGATGATAACTCTAAAAGGCATTTAGATTATTTTATTTCTAAACGTTTCTTCCTGTTTCAGAAAAGAGGGAATTAGCCAGAAGTAATCGAGTCTCTAAAACATAAAATAAGTTTTAAAACTGAAATTAGGGACTCAAAATTTATACTGTAAAACATACACACACAAGAAAAGTACCATATAAACTGGTCACAAGCAAGTATAGTTATTTGGTCTTACCTCCTCATATGCAAGCCAACCTAACATGAGCTTGCTAAAACCTACCTGGGAGTTTAAGCTAACCTTCTAGTCATCTTCTAACAAAACTGAGCCCAGTGTTGAGTTTATTTTCATACAAATTCAGTTTATCCTGCAGCAGTCCCACATACCAGGTCAGAACAAGACTGATCATCTTCATCCACTGATGAATGAGGAAATCGGGATAAGGAATTTGTCTAAGATCACCCACTAAATTAGAGACTGTGGTATGTCAACCCAACTCAGAGGACCTGTTCTTGCCCAAAATGAAACGAAAGTATTCCCTTCTATCCAAATCTATTTGGCTCCTAAAATTTAGGAACAGAATGATGAGAGTGTGGATATCACAAAGGGTGTCTTCAACGTTTATCTGAATCTATCTATTTTTCAAGTTCCAGGTACCTTAGGATACTTGTTACTACATTTCTTGTTACTATTATTCTACTAACCTGTAAGTACGTTAGAGGAGATGACTGTTGTATTCTACAGAATTTACAGGTCTCACATATACCTTGTCAAATATCATTGTAATTAATACTTCTACCTAGTACTCCTGCTCCAGAGGCAACCACTGTTAACAGTTTCTTTGTTTCCTAACAGAGACAGTCTGTTTGCTTTAAACAATCATTTTCACTGCAGTTCAAAACATTTAATAATTTTAAACTAATTAATAAGGAAAATTTTAAACACACAAAAGTAATCCATCTCCTTTGAAGTAAAAGCTTAATTAAGAATAAAAACCAAAACCAAACCAAACCCACTGCCATCAAGTTGATTCTGACTCATAGCCCTCTCCACTGGGTTTCCGAGGCAGTAAATCTTTATGGAAGTAGACTGCCCAGTCTTGCTTCCACAGAGTGGCTGGTGGGTTTGAACTACCAACCTTCTGGTTAGTAGTCAGATACCTTAGGCATTGTGCTACC